TGCCAGAGCAGGATCACCTAGGGCAGTCACACAGGAACGCATCCAGGTGGGGTTTGAAAGTCTCCAGAGAAGGAGACTCCACAACCTCTCTGGGTAGCCAGAAGATTTTGACCATCTTGACAGATTCAGGTTAAATTAAATTATCAAGAGAACTTAACATCTATGTAAGTGCCTAAGTTTCTTTAAAGAAAGTGCTGAGCAGATCACTTCAGGGTGCTTTGAACCAACTATCAACATCTGATAAGCTAAGCTCTTTCAAAAATTAGGTACTGAACTTCTAGCACAGGTCAGTTGACCTGGGCTTGGGGAAAGGCTGTGTAGCATAAAACAAACTAATCAAAGCAAAAGGAAAAATTATGTACCAAAGTACAGAAAAACGATGCCTTTGACATGTGCCGAGGTATTTCCTGGAAATGCTCTATCATATACTTTTTGGTCTCTCCACCTAATACCTGTCTTTAACATTCTCCCAAATGCTCAAAGCTGGTTTTGCCCAGTGACAGCATCCGTAACACAGTGAGCTGTAATCTTGCAAAGACTTTGGCATGCGCAGAAAGCTAAGCACAGGCTCAGAGCCTGCAGTAAGACTTCTCGCTATGTGTAAAGTAAAGTACATTCAGAGGTCTTATCAGGATGGTGGCCAAAGATTACAGAGGCATCCAAGCTGGTTGATATAGCCAAGCCTGTGCTGTGGCACATCTATTTTAAACTTGGGTCTTCTGGTTTGTATCTTGAGAGGTCTACAAGTCTTAACTGATCTGCAGAACAAATTAACTTTGCAAAGTGAAAACAGTTTAGCCTTGATAAATGAATATGAGCACAAAAGAGCAACTCCCTATGGTTCACATATATCTGTAGTCACCACAAAAAAAGGCGAGGAACTGACTAAATAGCTCTTAACCAAGCAAGTGGCATTACCAGCAAAACACAAAAAATCGCCGGTAAAAGTAGTCACTAGGATGCTGACACACAGGCAAGACCAAAACCTGTATTAAGTAGGTAGCGTATAATAATACTAACCATAACTATAATTGCTGATTATCTAATTAGACAGAATCCCCTTATTTAATGAATAATTCTATTCTCACCCCAATGGCATTTTTCTCAGTATTCCTTAAGATTTAAAACTTGTTAAAAGTCGTTCCAGGTTACAAACTAAATACAGCCACATATTACAAACAACAGTACCACTATACAGGCATTTTCTTTTAATATCTGCCTTTTTAAAAAATTTTAAGAGAAAGAAATAAAAACTTTTCACTACATTAATGAAGAACAAGCAATATCAGAACAACCTGGGGGGCACTGCCTGCCTGCTAGCAAATGCGCAAGGATAGCTCTAAGAAGCCACTTTACATCCAGGGATATTTTAACTCATTTCACAACACTTATAAAAATCAAATTAGTGAAATAATAGGATAATTTTGTAAATGTACTTGTTAAATTTAAGCCCAAGACAAACTTAGTCCAAGAAATAAAACTGGAGGTAGATGCTCAGCTTGTTTAAGTTGCCAGAGCTCCAGCAAAAGCAGAGCTAAGAGAGTTTAATTTGCTCCATGAAATGTGCAATTAACTCAGGAGGCTTTAAATATAGTTCTCAGAATTTAACGGCCTTCAAAAAGACGTTGAAATTGCAAAATGCAGAAAGAACCCTAATGAGCTGTTATAGAAATATGAGTCTGTCAGAAAAGAGAAAAACGGAGGACAGAGGAATCAAATTGACTGGAAGAGGCATCCAAAAGGATGGGATGGGATAGGATGACTTTTAAGAAATTGTTTAACTACTGAATCACAGCTTTCATTAAGCTCTGTGCAGCATGGCCACCCCCCAAGAAAAGCCACAGAAAGGAAATATCATTAGAAAGCTTATGACTTGGTGAGCCCACCCTTACATTCAAGGCAGCAAACTGTTGTGCTGTATTGTTGAGCAGGATGTAAAGAGCCTGCTAAGCACAGCCCACAGACCTGCTAATTAAGTGAACTGATTGTGTTTGTTTTGGAACAAACAAAGGAATTTTGTTTTGCCCACAAAGGAATGTGTCACGCTGATTAGTGAGAGAAGGGTATGTAACATATGTGTATTCAAACCCCGAGGAGTGCATAACCCAGGTATTCACTCTGTTTGCTCAAGGACTGACAAAAATGACTCTCAAGCAAATAACCTGAGCAAAGAGAAAAGGCAGCCTTCAAGAGGGGCCCTCCTTTTCTCTCAGCTGTACCTATCTAAAGAAGACCCATCCTTCATAAACTCATACTGGAGACTGCTCCAGAAACTGCTGAGAATATTTTGGAGGGGAACAATCTCTGCACCTCAAAGCTGACCTAAGAGACTATGAAGAGGGAAAGGGAACAGCCAACTGGGAACCATCTCCGAATTGTAATGGCCTCTCTGACAGCTGTCACTCTTCTCTCCAAAGAGCAAGAAAGGTCAGGGAGGTAGCCAAAGAAACAAATGCCAGCTCAACACAGACACACCCCTACCACCCCCCACCCTGTCAAAGACTTCACTTTTCAAACATTCAGCAGAGAGGTGATGTTTGCAAAAGCTGCCATGTATCCACTTTTGAGTATTTCTAACCTAACAGCCCAGTTTGCTCATTGAATTAGTAGTATGCTCAAAAGTGAATGAGCAACATTCAAGAGCAAGGAAAAACCACATTCTTCAAAGCTCAGTTGCTATTCCTGGCTTAGCTAAGCAGCTACAGCCAGGGGACCTGGCAGTCTAGTACTGAGTACAAAACGTGAGAGAAAGCAATCATAGCATATTCTTACTGCACCTTGCAGACTCAGAATAGTACAACTACATTGCAAATCTGAGCTGTTTAACTCAGAGCTTTGTATGATGCTTACCTAACAAGGAAAGCTGAACATGTCATCAGAAACTTCAGGTATGACTGCAAGTCTTCACACGAACCTTTTTAAGACTTGCCATTCCATCTGCCACAGGTGAGTCTGTACATCTACCTACTTCTCACCAGCCTCCTCAACTTGTACTTGCTGTTGTAGTGGCCAGCACACCTACCTCGGAAATCTCTCTTATCTGCAACAGATGGAAAAAAACACAAAACCCCTCTCTGTGGCCTTCTCCCTCACTGCTTCGCAGCTGATGGAGCTGCACAGTAAAAAACGCAAGCCCCACCGCTGGCATGACTTGCCTCCAGCCCGAAGGTGGAAAAGGGCGTGAATACAGAACGGAAAAGACCTGGTTAGTTTCACAGAGCGTGCACACAGAAATAGTAACGAGATGAGAAAATTAACTAGGAAAGGAAATGGAAGATGCTGGGCATAAAAGCAAGGTTCAGTGATAAGGAGTAAAAAAAGGAGTAAGCAGAATGATCTCTGACAAAATAAGAAAGAGAAATACTAGAGAACCTTTCATGCTGATCATGTTTTAATTAAAAACATTAACAAAGACTGCTTCTTTGGCATGGCATCAACCACGACTTCACATTTATGAAACACAAACAGAAGTCCTCTCTGGCTTCTATTCCACGTAAAAACAGGAGCCCAAGCAGCTTCTTTTGGCTTTCACTGAACTGCTGACAAATACTATTTGATTCCAAAAGGTTTTAAACTCTCTAATTGCAAGGTATGTCTGATCTCAGCTGAAGGGTGGGGGAACAACAGACACCAAAGAAAGTTTCTATGACCAAAAAGTCTTCCAGACAAATAAAATGCACAGATAAGTAAACTTATCTTACTAAATGATCTTACACATTCTCCTCAATCTTTCGGGAATATCTTCAAACATTTTTTATACAGTCTTAGCAGACATGTTTTATATCACCTTAGTTTCTCTCTTTTTAACTCAACCTATCTCACAATGCACCCTAGATAGATTCTTTCTTGAAAACCCTTTACAGAGCTCAGCTGCACACCTTGTTTAGCTTATGCCCACTGTTTTGTCAATGCATTTTTTGGAATAAGAATCTGGGAAAAGAATGTGCAAATAGTCTTTGAAACTCAGATCAGGCTGAAAATCCCTGAAGAGTAGTCCTTGGTTACTTGTAATTTAACATCTTTGTGCAAGCAGGGAAATCAGATTCTTAACAAAGCCCTTTTAACAGGCTGGTCCTCATTGTTTCCAAAGGTGGCTCTTCAATATTTTCTCCCTTCAGTGGAACACTTTGGAGAACAAATTAAAATGACTGTATTTGAAATAGACAGGAAAATACTTATCTATGGAGGAATGCTGTGCTGTCAGATACACTGTGTATCTATTGAGCTAACAAAACAGAAACAAAACAACACAAAAACCCACAAAAAACACCCTACCTAAAAAATCCTCCCTCCTTTATTCAGAATCTAAGACATTTTTTAAAAAGAGTAGTAACACTGCTGTGTTGCCAAGTCTGCTCTGGTTTCCTGCATTTTGCTGCTAGGTTTTCCATGCAACTCCCATCCCCAGTCTGACATCCAGTACTCCATATAAAGTGAAATAAAGGTTCTTTCATTTACTTAGGACTGGCAAATGCTTGTATTTATTTTGTAGCCATCTGAGAAAAGCAATGTCATTTAAAAAAAATAAATCTTGAATTCGTAGGTGCAGAGGAGTATGCACACAAAAAGCAGAGAATTTTACGGGGAAAACACTTCAGAATAGATGGTTACTGTTTTATAATGGACAATCCCAGTACACCATTGGGTATAACACCAGAGACCAGAAAGATGTCCGTGATCATTCCAGAGAATCCCTATGGCTGTTCAGGACACTTTGCAAACTTGGAAGAGCTTTGGATAAATCACACTGTGTAACGCTGCTGGGGACTCTTCCCTTTTTGAAGAGCTGTTCCGCGACTTACAGGGCTTTGGGATGTAGCTCTTCCTATCTATTTCCAAGTTTGCTTGTGGTGGCCTCCCTAGACCAGTAATTTAGCGTAGCTACTCAGAAATGTGGATTAGTGGGATCCAGCCCCTAGTTATTTAAATAGGAGGTCACGATGCTGAGAATCTGCAAGGATATGATATGCGAGTCGAATATATGACTGACATTACAGTACCTGCTTGTAGAAATGTCCTCAAAGGGGTAAAGGATTTCTCCATTGTTGCAAATCTCACAGATAAAACCCTTTTGACTACAAAGGCTGCAGCTGTACACATGAGAGGTGGCAAACTTGATCACTTTTCCCAAGAACGGAGCCAGCTTTCCTTCAATAACCTGAAACGAGAAGATGATATTGAACGAACCTCCCCAAAATGACTAGAACTCCAGGAAAGACTGAGGTAATATTTATTAATGCAGAAATGCAGCTAAGTGCTACTGGTTAAAACGGGAAAGTCGCTTCTCGACTATTATAGCTGAAACAAAAATCACAAATAATAATAGCAGCCAATGAACTGGCAATGATCCAAATGTAAAAGCAAAGTTAGTATCTCTCTGTAAGTCTCTATATGAAAATAACATACAAGATTAGTAGTTGTTTTAAGTACAACAATGCCTTCATATACTAAGGCACAAAAAAAGTAGATAAGAAGAGAGTTTAAGCTATGGATACTGCCTGACATCTATGATTTTCATTTCTTGTTATTTTATTTAGGCAGTTTTGACTTTGTTCCATTTCCTCCAAAGCACAAGCATTTTGCACAGTTTTATGAACAGAACCCTGTCTTTCCTGCTTTAGTATGGTTATGTTTCCCATTGAAAACCATTAAAATACAATATTCCCCTCACTGCCCAAATGAATAAATTATCAGGAAAAGTCTTGAATCAGAACCGGGTTTTTCTGCTTTCAGTGTCCAGCTCTCCAGTTGAGAAGTCTCTCGCTGCCAGACAATCCTGAGCGACCATTAGAAGTGACTAGCACTCTCTGCTTTTTTTGGTGTGAAAAAACAGCCCTGCAGTATAGATTAAACTGCTAGCCACAACACTCATCTGAATTTGTGACTCGATGACAATGCCTCAATAAGGGGTGCTATTCAGGCAAAATACTTTCCATTCAGATCGAACTTCCAGAGACTTTAAGGAATTCTGCTGGCGTAGGGAATAATGAAGACGGAATAAGGCCCTAAGTGTATATTCTTTTCTCCCGGGCTTCCTGTGGTCTGAATGGCAGCCTGCCAGATTAGTGACAGAAATGTGTCATGGGATTTGATACTGACCTCCTATAAAAAGGAGAAAGAATGCAGTAATTGCTGACTGAAGATGTGCACAGGGATGTGCCCGGAAACGTAAGAGTGGGGAGATTTACACTTAAATGTGTGCCAGATTCAGTTCAGGCATCCCTTCCCTAAATACAGTAACATGCCACTTGTAATGTGGGTTTAGTGCAAATGAATCAAGAGAAAGCAAACATCAAGGCAGAGAAGCATAACGGAGATTTTGGAAGCACTCCTCCCCTATGTAAATTAGAAAGGAAACAGAATTGTGTGCTAGGGCAACTTCTTGCCCACTAGCCAAGATAGCCACTGGCAGAGGAGACAGACAGACACGTGGCAGAGGAGGTGTGTGGGCAGTGTTGATGCTGATGGCGTTGAACGACACGGGCCGAGATGTGTCCCCTCTCTGCTTTCGGCACTGAGCCTGCTCACGACATGTGCAACAACAGGAAGCGGCACTGTTATTGCTAGCGGTGAGGAGAGGACATCTGCTCATGTTAAAGGAAAAATGACGTTCCTGTTGCATCCTGGTATAGGAAGATCCCCTTCGACCAGAATATAAACAACGGAGAGAAGCTGCTGCACGAAATACAAAAATGAAGCCATAGTTCAAGGCAGTGATACTAGCAACCTTCTAACAGATGGTCAGAAGTTAGTTTAGCTCCCCTAGGCTGGGTTTTGCTTTTCATTCGAAAAGAAGAAATGTTTTGCTTGCACACTCCAAAGTTACAGAGGGTCTGAAAGCTAAACAAGTTGGGGAAACACCCGAAAGATGACAGTATTCAATGAACAGGCAGAAAAAAACAGTGAAGCTATCCAGCTAGTGACACAACTACAGTCACCCTCCAAAAAGCCATTTAGCACTAATAAATGAAATATGCATAAAAAGATAATAAATAAACTACAATACACATGTATTTTCCAAAACACTTTCATGCTACAGCAATCACCTCTGTCAGTCCACAAGTGCTCTAAAAGCTGCAAGCAAACTCCGAATCTGTACTAATGTCGCTGTCGGCAAGGATTTGAAAGTCAAATCTCTGAATTAAAATCGCATTTTATATAATGTAATAAACAAAATGAACATAAACTACTACCTTCCTAAGCACCAGGGGTGAATTTAAGTCTACAAGGCACAGAAGGTTTCCTACTCTGAAGAGCTCACAAGCTAAGACAGATGTGAGAGTGGGCAGCTGTCCCCAAGGAGCTGGTGTTATTTATTTATTGTGTAGCTCATTGTAGCAATGTCATGGGTTGGCTTGTCACTCTGGCCACTGCAGACATACAATGAAGATGATATCTTCAAAGAGCAATGCATGCCAATTTTGCAACATGAATTACAGGCCATTTTACTGTATTATAGGAGAAAGACAAAAGGCAACATCAAACTGATGTTATCTCTATTTTTAGCATCCGTAAATTTTGTGTCATTTTGTTTCATCGGAGACCTCAAGGCTGTGCATAGGATGTGACTTCTCCTTGCAGCCTTCTCTCATTCATGTTTGTAGCTAATAAGTATAAAAAACTCACGTCCATTTACTGCTGGAAGCAAAAAGAAAGACTTCTACTTTCTGTTCCCAAGAGGAGTTTCACAGTAATACTTTGCCAATGAGTGTTCTGTGGCTTAGGAAAAGGAGTGCAGGACATGTCATCAAAAGTGTCAAAACTTCTCTTTTGACTAAGCACTTCTTTGTGACAGACGAAGGCTCAGGGTTGGTCAGTCTAGACATCCCAAAATTATGATGGTAGGGTCCCAGGATGTTCTCCCAGCTGATGCTGGAATCTCATAATAAATTTCAAGTAAGCACAAGTGATTAAACAATAGAGGTGTATTGAACAAATGTAATGCATTATCCAGATATCAGGGAAATCATGGGGGGAAAAAGAGGACTTCAAGAAGTTATCTTGGCAGAGCCAGTAATATCTAGGTCATTCTTTACAGCCGGTTCTGTTACTAAAGCCTTTCAGTGACAGAGACTCCACAGCCTCCACGCAGTCTAAGCCAGCACACATCTGTTCTCACTGTTGGAGTCACTCCTAAGCTTTGACCTGAACCTTTCCTACTGACATTTCAGTTTACAAAATAAGCTTACAAAATAAGTTTACAAAATAGAGAAACCGTGAAATTACACACTATGAGCTGCAGAACAGTCCATCCCATTTCCTAAGAAATGTGGAATTTTAGCACAAAACTAAGTTAAGAGTATGCCAAAGGAGCAGGAACCAAAAATTTCACCACTGACTTATCCCTGTAACATAATACAGCCTCAACATGCCCTTGCAAAGGCTTAAAAATATATTCCTGCCTCTTAGGAAAAAAAAAGAGAAAAAGGAGCATTAATTGTAAAATAAATTTGGCCGAGTTCAGATTTCTTCTACCTACAGCGCATATGAAGAGCAAGATCTGTTTTATAATTCTTTGTAGGGCAAACAATTGTTTTGTTGTCCAAAATCAAGTGTGAAAGTTGGCTGATGATGGCATTCTGGTCATCAGCTGATGAGGGTGCAGTGCAGCTTTTTCCTCCTAAACTGGTTGAGGAACCCACCCCCGAAGGATTCTGAACACGAGGCCAGCTCTTACAGCGAGCTTACCGCTGCTGCACCTGGAATACACCGGGGTATGCTGCTGGTGACAACGGGAGGAAACTACTTGTGTTCAGAGGCCCAAAGCAAGTTGTGTCTCTGAATAAGCCCAGTGGTCAGACCGGAATCACTGTCCACCTCTGTGGATCTGGAAAAACACTTCTTTAAGCTACGACAGGGAGATGTGGCTTGTCATACTGCAGCTCCTAACTGCGTGTCTCACATCAGGAACTGTATAAAAATACACACACAGAAAAGACAGGCCCCGCCTTCAAAGCACTTACCATTTAAGCCAACAAAAGGAACACTGCTTTTGTACACTAACTGCCACACATCTCCCACCTAAATGGGACAAACTGTGTTTTGGGTAAGCCTCTGGCTCAGGCTCTGCCCGCACTGCAGAGAGCATCCCACAGCACGGCCACAGGTGCTGGCGCTGCTAGGGAGGGGAGAGGAAACTCAGGCAAGAGAACCAACAGCAGCAGCAGCAACCCACCCTGCTGCCCAGGTCCTGCACCTGGCCCAGGAGAGCTGAGGTGGTATCGGCAAGCAAGAGGGAAAAGCAGAGACCTGTATGCAGCAGTGCAAGAAATGAAAGGGGTACACAATATCTGAACGTGTGCCAAAGAGGTGCTGGGACAATTATTTCAGATGACTTCTACAGCAGAGGCTTTTCATACAAGTCAAAGTTACGAATAAATGCAAATCAAGCTTTCTTCTCTGTATATCTTTGTGCTACTGTTCAGTTGGGTAGCAGTATAAATGTGAAGAAAATGATTATGTTCTGTATGAGTGATGTGAGGGGAAAACACAGGGACTGACAAGCACTAGCAGACAAGCCAAGCTGGCAACGACTGCGAGAGCTTTGGGTGGTGGGTTACGTTTGGGTTACGTT